TAATATAATGTATTATAGGATATACTATAATATTACTTCTTTCACCTCTGGTTTTTGGTATGTGTGTGTTATAAAAGGGAGGGGAAAGAACAAAGCAGGGCGCTCATTTGCATTGTTAATGTTACCTCTGCAGCAGCGGAGAACAGCGTCTGTGCTATTACTACCAGAGAAAGGCAGCATTTCTGTCAAACAAGGTCGATTTTGGGCCGATCCACATTTTTTCAGCTCCGAACCCATTCACAAGTGCCAATTACGATACAGATTCCGATACAAGAGCTCTTTTGTTGCAATAAAAAAAAATTAACACTAATAAAGAAAATATTACATATGAGTAATGATAGATACTGTAAGTGCAACCACTAGATGGTCAAAGACAAAAGGACGCACACTTGAGGGGTAGAAATAAACCTGTATCTTTGGTGATGCAAGATTTCACATTTACCAGCCAACATTAGGGCATTAATAATTTATTATTAATAAAAGATCTGTCTAACCCGTCTTTGTATCTAGGATCCAGTAAAATGGCAGCTGAATAGTGGAGATCACCTTCGATCTGATGTCCAAATATCACTTGTGAAGCTCATGGTTTTAACAACTTCTAACTATGCTGCCAACTGTGACATTCAGTGTATAGATTTGGTATAGCAATCTCTAGAATGTATTTTCTGGATGGCAGATTATACCTGGGCTCCAACAGGCTGTGAAATCTGATTTTTTTTTTTTCCATAACAGTTAGTGGTAAGTTAGTTAGTATAATGAAGTTGAGCAACTTCTCTGTATTCCCTTTAGCCTTTGGGTTGTCTGCAGTGGATTGGCCCTGTCTGTCTGATATCCAATGAGTGAATGACATCAATATCGGACTCAATACCGATATAGGATTGGCTTGGGTGCATCTCTGTTTTCTTTACCCTACCAGTTTGACTGACATGCTGCAGTGTCTTGCTGAGCTGTTGTTTGTTTCTGGCTCGGACCGCTCTACCCCTGAGCCACAGCTAATGTTGGTCTGTTGGTGATAGGCTATGAAGTATTCACACAGTTCCTTCACATTTGACTTTCAAAGCTCATTATCAAGTAATTAATGCACATTGAAATAAATTTTTTTTTTGTTCCATCAATGTTGTGACCAAAATGTTGTGAAGATATGAATCAATGGGAATCGTTTTTTTTTTTCTCCCACTCCTAACGTGACAATAAAAATTTTTATTTTTTTTTTTTTACTGCTGAAACTCACCAGTCTTGACATTCACTCATAGCACATACAGATGGAATAACTATCTATAAACATGTACATAACTGGACACCATCCTTCCTTATAGATATGATCCTAAGGAGAACAAATGGACACGTGTGGCCTCCATGAGCACCAGGCGGCTAGGTGTAGCTGTGGCTGTGCTAGGGGGGTTCCTGTACGCTGTGGGAGGGTCTGATGGGACATCACCATTAAATACAGGTATGGTACTCATTTATGAGAATAATGCAAGTGAAAAAACTAAGATGTAACAATAATGATGGTAAGGAATAGGACTAAAGATGTTATCAGGTCAACTACATGTTAATTATGGACCAAAAAGACAGTGTGAATGACAGTAGCCCTCTGCTTTGGGCTTTCTAGCCAGTTCTACGCTAATTGACGGCACATTTTCTTACTCTATTACATTTTCTTGGAACAAACAAAAATTATGTTTTTCTCTGAAGTGCCATTCCTTCTTCATAAAATAATTTCAAAGCCAATTTTTGAAAAACTATGTACTAGCTTTCAGTTTTCTTATTCCCTGCATTTGTTGGTGCATTGCTGCATAGAGTATTTGGTGTCTTACCCCCACATATTGATCACTGAAATAGTGTGGCACTATTGGTAATACTGTGTATTGAACCACCTGTGTGCACATGCATCGACATGTGCACACAGGTGGTCCATGTATGTAAGCAAGATAAAATGGGTCTACTCATCAAAAAACATCTCCATAGCGCTACTAGAGGTCAAAACTCCACATGGAACATTTATGACAGTGACCAGTGAAGGAAGCTCCCTCTCAAATGACACTGAGAATACAAGACATAACTGTTGAAAATTGTAACAGTTGTGGAAATAGAAATATGTTGGTTTACACAATAAATTCTTACATAAAGTTCAGGTCAGTATTATCTGTATTAACTTTCTTTCTAATGGTTATTTAGTTGTTTTGAATCTTTCTATTTTGTCTTTCTATGTCTCTCTTTTCTGAAGTGGAACGCTACAACCCTCAAGAGAACCGCTGGCACACTGTATCTCCAATGGGGACCCGGAGGAAACACCTTGGCTGTGCAGTCTACCAGGACATGATTTACTCTGTTGGAGGGAGAGACGACACCACAGAGCTGAGCAGCGCAGAGCGATACAACCCCAGAACCAACCAGTGGTCTCCTGTGGTGGCCATGACATCTAGACGGAGTGGGGTGAGTGTGTGCGTTTTTGTGGGACTGACTCCTGAGGTTTGTGCTCTTCTAGTTGTAGCTGCTGCTTGCCAGTCATATGTATATGTCATACTGTACATCTGACTGCATCAAATTTGTCAAAAGGTTTAATTACTTATGTCAGTTGTCACAGTGTGGATTAAGGTACTAAATTGGTTCTCAAAAAATGCTTTGCATATGAAGCTGTAGTGTAATTCTGTCTGCAGGTGGGCTTGGCTGTGGTGAATGGTCAGCTGATGGCAGTGGGAGGCTTTGATGGGACAACTTATCTCAAAACTATAGAAGTCTATGACCCCGATGCCAACACATGGAGGTAAGGAGCAGTTAAGACAGACCACAGAATATGACTACGTATTACAACTGTGAAACTAAACAATACAGTGATGACAGCAGTTAGCCAGCAAATGTACATATAAATGTATTTAGATATGAGCAATATTACAGTAATCAGAAATAAATTGCACAATTTGGGTAATACCAAATTTGATTAGAAAAGTTTAAATGTTAGGTGATGTCTATCATATCAGTGGCAAGTTCATCAGCTGGTCTCAGATATTGAACACATGACAGAATTTGGCCAAATCTATTTAAGATTCACAGCCTGCAATTAAACAGTCCAGATGCTTTGGTACAGGGAATGGACACTGATGGTTGGGAATCGTGTGAACTGCAATTGTCTGTTTTTCAAATTTAATATCAAATAGATGCACTAAGAAATTAATACAATATTGGCCATAGATGACAAGGGCTTTACAAAAATCTGATATGTCCAGGATTGTTTTACTGTTACAATTTAGAAAATGACATTGGCATATTTGTGGAAGTGATTAATTTAACACCATTACCATTGCTGAGATAGCAAGTGTTAATGGACAATTCTGCCTCAGTTAAGGTAATAAGACAGTCATAAGCAATGAATTTTTAATTTCTCAGTCTTGCTTGTCTTCCTCTTCTCTTCTGCTATGTTTACCTCCATGATAACAAGAAATCAGTATTCAGAAGTAATGCTTTGAAGAATATACTTTCTACTGTACAAAAGATCCTGTGAACCTTTCACCATCATCTGATTGCCACCTCTTTTCCAGGTTATACGGAGGAATGAACTACCGCCGGCTGGGTGGAGGGGTGGGTGTCATTAAAATGACTCATTGTGAATCCCACATATGGTAACCCCCCCCCCCCCCCCCCCCCCACACACCCTCTTCTAACAATAATACACAC